TGTGAAAACATAACCTCCTGCCAACCCCTTTGCGGAGGTAATTAGCACAGCTTATGTTTGATAAGCTGCAAGCAAATACAAGATATATTCGCACAGCGACTCTATATTAGACTCTATATAGTTTGATCTAGGTCAAGTTTGCAGTCTGTACGTGGCATCTGCTCCTGGATACTAAGACAAGGCATCAATATCTCAGAGGTCAACATCGGCAATGTTACCAAGTACCACTATCCATTACCCATTGCATCGCGTAAATATCTACAAACCCCGAATGAAAGTGAGAGCGATGCCGGGCCAGACTGACGTGAACACGCCATGACAACATGACGATGGCAACCCAGCCCTCTGACTTCCCTTACCTCCTGCGGCGGGACTTCAAAGGACACAGTTCTCAGGTCAACCTTCCTGTACTCATCAATGCAGGGCAAAATGAAGAAAAGACCTAAAAACCATCGCAAATAATACACGCTGAGACGTGATTTCAAAGAGTGCATGCGACGCCTGACATGCTGGCAACCCTGTCTAACTCCCGCCACCTCCCGACAGACGCACGCGTGCAAACCAAGAAACCTCAGCCAACACTATCCACCACCTTACAGTTTTTATTTTTTGCGGGATCATTTCAGAGATATGACCCATCATGGTAACGGAATGGTACAGTCCCTGATGGCATGCATGCAGGGACGTTCGACATGCATGCGTGCAAGGACGTTCCGTCATGCGTGCAGGCAGAGCGCCCAAACGCCGGCCATATATTATCAAGAGTACATAATAGAGTATTATTATGTACTCTTGATATTATAATAGCGGAGGCAGATGTCTAGTGCAAGGGTTGCCCAGCGCCAGGTCACAATGCACTGATCTCTCTCGCACAAAATTTACCTCCTGGGGTGGAACGTCAAAAGATATAGTCCGGAGATCTACTTTCTTGTATTCATCAGTGCATGGAACAACGAAGAAAATACCTACAAACAATCGCAAACAAGCAAATTATGTTAGAATGCGTAACTTGGCAATATAACGCATGCATCTCGGTGAGGAGTAGCACAGCCAGGATAAGAATCAGTTATTTTCATAACAAAGTCTTCATAATTATCATGACTATTAAAATCTAAAAACTGGCGCATAACATAATTAATCATTATAATCTAACTAAAAATTCGCGAAAACTATAATAGTGATATCACGTAGGTGAACGTAAATAAATGGCAAGCCAACTCTCACGCAGAAACAGCGCATGACCGATATCAAATTTGAAAAGAGATCAAAACAATCCTGATTGCGATGCGTTCTACTGCTACTACTACTGCTACTGCTGCTGCTGCTACTACTGCTGCTACTGCTGCTGTTGTTGTTGTTGCTGCTGCTGCTGCTGCTGCTGCTGCTGCTGCTGCTGCTG